ACTCACCAGAGTAATGTGACAATATAATAATATGTGAGGGGGAGTGGCGGCCTATTGATTAGGGCACAGAGCTTGGAAACCTGAGGTTCTGAGTTCGAGTCTCACTCCCCAAGGCTGCCTCTCTGGGTCTCTGAGCAAGACCCTTAAACCCACACTGATCCATGGGTGCTAAAAATGACAGCCCACAGGGATGGGATAAATGCAAAGTTAAATTTCTCCAATACGAGATCGATGAATATTTATTTATTTATTTTTTATTATTTTTGTAATGGATATATTAGCACAATGAAACCCATAACAATTAAAATAATTGATGGATGGATTTAAAATCAGCTTTTTATTATCAATGGGCTTCCTAAGATTGTATTAATAAAGGCAATTACCTTGCATCACTGTAGGCTTGCTGTTCTTATTTTATTTACAAGCATCTTTCATAACAATAAAGATCACTTGATCACTTCAGAAATGAAAACCCAAAAAACATGAAAACCCTTTTATAATTATGCATTTTAATGTCTTGATCTTCTCCCACTTGTTTTCATTGCAGTGAGCAGCAGGTTTTTGACCAACTGCATGCCCAAGAATGTGGTGACAGCTGCATTAACTGCCAAAATTATTATCATAATTATTATCAACACTGATAAGCAGCAGAACAATGATGAGTGGAAGTACAAGAAATTATCAACACAAAAGGATTTTTTAAACACAACTTTGAGCAGTTTAAATTGCAGTAAAGTGTATTTTAACTGCAAAATAAAAAAAAGAAAGAATATGTTTACTGAAAATGATAAAGTTGTTGTTAGGCAAAGGGAGTTATTTGATTATGTTTGGATTATCCTTGTTTTTTCCTGATAGACTACTATGATAATATCATTTTTTTATGCCTCAAAGAAAATTTATCAATAAGACAAAAAAATAAAATCCATCAACTGCAATGTTTAAATTGCAAAAAGTTTAACAGATTTGCGACTGAGATTTACTGTCTGCAGCCAAAAGTTTTGTACTCGTCAATGAATGTATTGAACTCATTACAAGTACGGATGTTCCCAGATTTTTTACACTCCACATCTAGCGGCTTCCTTTCCACCCAGGTGTTTGATTCCAACAAATACTGCATGCTGCAAAGACAGAAACAATAACAGTTTAGAACGCTCAGTTTAAAGCTGCATTTTTGTCTATAAAACTTATTTTACTTACTTTCCATCTGAGTCTTTAGTGGCACCATCTTTGCCCATTATCAGATACTGCATTTTAAGCTCTAACCCCTCCTTGCAATGAAGCCTTTTGGCAAACACTCGAACACTGTCTGTCCTCACATGCAGGTCATCATCTAGTACACAAACAGTACCTACTTTAAATACCGAAGGGTTCATGAAAACTAAACAAAAAATGTTGTTTTTAACCTCCCTAGTCTATGTTTTTGGATACTTACAAGTTCTGAGGACCTCAGTGATTTTGACTTTGTACAGTGCAAAGTTGCTCTTAAAAGAAACGTCCTGGACTTCCACAATGTAAGCTGGAAAACAAGAAAACAAATACAGTTTTAATAACATATTATATGCATTCTAGCCATCTACCATATCCACTAAAGCATGCACTGGTCAATAAATCTATAACCATTAAATCTATATAATAGATATAACAGATAGCAAAAATGTACTATTCATTAAACTGCTTCAAAAACATGTTAGGTTAATAGTTTAACAAAGCAATTATTAAATACCTTTTGAAATTTTTTTTATTTATTCAATAAATATTTATTGATATTGTATTGGCTCTAAATAGCTAAGAAACTAAAAAGCTAATAATACAAATGGAGAGAATCCTAAGACTTATTAGACAAGAATATATTTTTATGGAAAAATAAATTGTTTTAAAGACTACAAACCGTAATCCACTGTGGGGGAGAAGCAGGCGTGATTCATGCGTTTGTTCTTTGTGATTTTTCTGCCTAATTTAAAGGTCTCCTGTACTTTATGACAGGGTCCTAAAGAAAGAAAACAGTGACATTTTTAATGCATGAATATTATATACAAATATAAATACATAAGTTAAGGTCCAAATAACTTTTTCTCAAACTTTGGGGCACATACTGTAAGTACTCTTTCCTGTTGTGACAATACAGAAAAAAAAAACCTGTTAACAATGTGGTGATAAAAATGCCTCAGATTCTCATTTAGATTTCTAAAATTTTAAGAGTTATGAATGCAGTGAATGTGCTATCTAACACACTTTGGTTTGTGTTGGCTGTACATACATTTTTCTCTAAATTCTGCCAAAAGCATACAACTAAAATAATTACACAGAGTGACAATTAAAAAAAAAAGAAAGAAAAAAAAGGAAATTACTAGTTCTAGTTTAATGAGGCTTTTATCATATTATTTCAGAGGCGATCATTAGTTTGTTACCAGTCTTCTGGTACAAAATGCATTTATTTCTACTTTTGTACCTGAACATTTACAGGTTGAAAGGTTAGTTGTTAAATATGCATAGATATATTTTCAGCTTTTCATGATTCTGTCCAGTTACAACCATGTGATTATTAATGAAATCTGTTTGAAATTCATGTGATAGACCAAAACAAACAAGTACAAAGTAGAGAATGATTGTTAGTTAGAAGAAAATGTTCCTAATTATTTCAATGGAAGCCTAAAAATACTTTGTACAAGCATTAGTGAACCAGCACCGCCAGGTCTTTATGAAGTTTTGACCAAGGTTATGCCTTAAGAAAATATCCTAAACTTTAAACATCTCGTAGAGCACAAGTCAATTCCTGATTTAAAAATAGAGCATGTTTTGCATAACTACAAACTAAAAAAATGGCTATGAACCTAAGCCGACAGGCCCAGTATGAGAGCATTAATAAAGTGCTCAAAGTGCCTACAGTAACACTGGAGGTGCTGTGGGAGATCCTCAGTTAAGGTGGGAGAAACTAAAAACAGGACAATTTTTAGTGGTTAAGAGTTGATTATAATGATGTGAAGATAGATGAAGCTCAACGCAGTACACCCACTTAGAGTTGTCCACAATAGTGGGTACAAGGGGGAAAAGTCACTGTAGGCGACTATCATCCAAAAAATAGTCACTGAGAGGAGAGCAGGGATCTGTCCGACACGCTGAATCCAAGGAGGAAACATAAAGCTTTTCTGCAGTTAGGGATGTTTATTGTACTCTTTTTCTGTGAGACATTGTACAACAGGTAGATTTGCAGACTAATTTGCTTTAAACTTGCGGTCAACAGAAATATTGGCACCCTGTCTTAGCCTCTCTCTGAATCAAACAAACAAAACAGCCTCAGAGCAGATCCAGGTGATATTAATTAGACAATCACTCAGCTCCAGACACATGCCAACACCCACTTATAGCTCCACCCACACATGCCCATACATACCTTTAACAAATGCACCCTGCCCTTAGAGACATGACAAAAATGCATCCTTGCCTCTACAGTCACGTTCAGTATAAAAGCTGCATATGTGTCTGTCTTGTTTCCATGTGGAATTAACATGTGTTAAGCATAACAGAGCCTAAAGCAGCTGCATGGTCCTGCTTTGTCGATTTAAGCCTTGGGTCAGCAGTGGAGACAACTACAGACTTACTCCTGGGTAGATGTTCAACTCCCAGCAAGGGAGCATCCCTTAATATTCAGCCAGTGAAGCATTGCAGTGGTTTAGGTAAAAGCATATTCTAGCATGGCCCAGTGTAAATCCATCCCTAAATTAAATAAAAATATTTTTGCAAGACTTGAAACTGCTTTTTAAAGACATTTTTTTTCCCAATCTTAGTGTAAGCAATTTTCCAAAGAAGATTGGTAAGAAGTTTCTGTCAAAAAAACTTATTTGTAACTTGAAATTAGCTTCTAAAATATATTCAATTTGGTTGGCAGGAATATTAACGTACACTTTTTCTTTTATATATCGAGTAATTCAAAATTTAAAAGCATGAAGAATTTTCATGGAATTTTAAAATGTGTGCTGTGTTGGCCAGTAATATAAAAAAAACACATTATAATGTAGCTTTTGCTTTAAAAATGTAAGCAAGTAAAATTAGTTTAAATACTGTGAGGCAATATTTTTTTGTATTTATATTTTGAAAGTGAGTGCCTACTTTCTGCACACTGGCAAACATCTTCTGAGCACAGCTTAGAGACCAACTGGCTCCTTCGTGGGAGTGAGTAGAACACAGTGCACTTCACACCTGCAAAGAGAAACATTCCTAATTTGCCTGACATGGATTACATTAATTTAGAATTTATGGAAATAATAAAAGAATACCCTACCTGGTTCATAGTAATCATAGAATACAGCTGGAGCAGGCTGCAAAAGGCCAACTGGCACTTTCTGATTAGCAGTGAAAGTCAGACATTCCTTGGTTTCATAAAGCTGGAGACAGACAGGGAATACTGTAAGTAATATTACAGAACTAACAAAACACTCTAATTTGAACTAGAGTTCAACCTTACCTTATTAAAGTATAGCACCACCCGTCCAGAGGATATCTCATAATGGCTAATGTACAGCTCAGGTGGCTGTTTAAGCTGAGATTGAAAAATAAATACAGTCATTTCAGAATTTAGAACACAAAACATCTCCTGTAGGTAACCCATTTTTCTTTTTTTTTTTTAAATAAAATAAATATATTAATATATGAGAAGGAGCAATGGGTTGGAGAATAGAATTGAAAGAGGAAATAGAGAGAACAACCAACCCTTATCAGGTCCTCCTCTTCCACCTCAAATCCACTAAGTAATGTGATATCTGCGATACCCATTCCGGTGAGAGGGCTGTTTGGGCTATAGCTATGTAGAGAAAAAGGGAAAAAAATATAATTTGGCTGGTTTACATTTTCTGTTTTTGTTTTCAAAAATTATATCCAATTAAAAAACAATAGATGACCAAAAGGAAAACATAAATATGTATAATCCTCACTTAAAAAACAAAACAACATAAAAAACAAATGACAACAGATAACCACCTCCAACAACAACAACAAAAAAACTCTTGGTGATCTTTAAGCATTTTTGACATTATTTTGTAGATTAAGGGTCCTACTCAAAGTCCACAATACAATAAGTGACTTATTAAATTATTATTTAAAACTGTCATTGATTAATTAAAAAGAAATACAAAATGTATTTAATAAATATGCCATGAATAATATGGGCTTTATTTAAAAATCGGTGAATATAATTATTTCACAATCTGATAAATTATCTAATGTTCCTGTACAGAAGCACAAAATATGAATTTAAACTGTCACATATCCATCAAAGTGAAAGAAGAGGCAGGACTACATAGTCTTCCTAGAAACCCTGATTTCTGATTGGCTCTTTCTCAATGAGCAAGGTGAGCAAACTTCCTCCTGGTTTTCATTTACTCTTATGTGAACATTTTTGCTGGAAAAGGTGTGAAAGTTATTTTACAAGAAGTTGCCGCCTCTATATCCATAGATCGGCCTCTAAAATGTTAATGAGAGAATGTTGGCAAGCAATAGTCAGTAGGCGGGGCTCTAGTTGATTGTGCTGAAGTCTCCAGCAGCTTCCACCATGCTGGACCCCAGCATTTTAGAACAGAATCGAAAATCCCTTTATTGTCCAACAATGGGGAAATCTGTTTTTTCTATCTATATATATATATATATATATATATATATATATATATATGTATATATATAATTTCTATTTCTTTGATTTTATTTTACTGGTTACTGGTATTTAACTGTATCTCTTCAAAGCACTGTATATATTGAATTGTCAACCAACCTGACACAGACAGTATAAATTATACTATCTGAATTTATGTCATTTTTAAGATCCCTCCTGCTTCGTGCCAGAGCATCAAAATGCTCAATCGTCGACCGTGCTACTCGAGTCTGCTTTTCCTCAGCATCATCATAGTCCTCATAGTAGTCATAATTTTCTGTTATCTTCGCTGCAAATACAGACATGTTTAAGATTATACAGCTTTATTGATGTCTGGCATTTTCTTATTGATGTTGGTAAATAAAAAGGAACTTACCAGTGTACTCCACTTTCCCCTCCACTTTGACAGTGATTTTAAGTTTGGAACAACCATCCTCAGGGTCCAGGAGATAGAAAGTTTTTAAACTCTGCAAATGAGTAGGAAATTTGCTGTATATTACACATGTCAGTCATCATGAAAAAAGAAAAGCACATAAAAACAACTCACTTTTAGCTTGATCTTTCCTTTTCCTGTCAGCTCTACTGTAATGTTATTCCCAGAAAGTTTCTGAAAGAGAAAAAGTAAAAGCAACATTTCCTTCAGGAAGATACCTCATTGTCCTTTTAATATGTAATGCAGGAATGTTACCTCTAGGTCTGTTTCCACTGTCTCATTTCTTTCTGCCAGTGTAAGTTTAACCCTGTCACTCTTCCCTTGGATTCTGAACTCAGCTGTTACATTTATGATGGAAAAAGGAGGCCTTGCAAGCTCATATTCTGACAGGGCTTCCAATGCCATAATGGTATCCTGGACAGAGAGAAAGCTGTTAAAATCTACCGTTTTTTAAAAATTATTATTGAAAAATGTATTTACATAAAAAAATTAGGAAATGAGCCAGTGTTCAAGGAAAGAGGATTGTTTAGATTCAAGTTTCTGTAATCAGTCAGACAATTACCTGAGTAGATCGATAGCCTCCATAATAGTTTTCTTGCCTGACTAACCAGCAGGCTATTTTGTCTGCCCAACTCCTCTCACCGATTTTTACAGCAGCTAGTAGAGCGTAGGCTGTTGTCTCTACAGTGATTGCATCAAGAATGCCCGTGTTTGTCCAGTAGGAGCAATTCGTCTTATCTATTCAAAAAAATGATAGAAATTAAAAAATAACAAACTATTAACATTTTCTTTGTCTTGAACCCCAGATTTACTCTGCTTAAAATGTTGGTTAGCTGTGATTTTTTGTGCAAAATTTGTTTCATCACCTTGTGGATTGACACCAGAATTTTTCACTTCATTTTGCTTGAAGTGACAATACATATTTTTGGTTTTTTAAGCACTTCATATATAAACAGCTAGCACAGTTTGTGAAACTACAACACTCTTATACTCTGTTCAAAATTCCAAGTTATGCTGTATTTGGCTGTGTTAATTGTATGCTATCAATCATTAAGAAAGTTTAAGGAGTTTTCAGTAAAGCTGGTTTGAAAAAGGTCCATAGGAAGTCATTCATATAAGCAGCCAGAAAACACCTATTATTACCTGCTAGTGTTCCTGTGTTGCCCTTACAGATCAGTCACAGGCCTAAGACACTCTCAGTTTTTGTTTGCAATGACATGATGAGGCTTTCAACTGAACTATGTGGTTTGTGGTGAACAAGTATCAAGTCATCTAAAAGTTACCTGCAGTTGATGATCATACTACAGAAAAACAATTATTTTCAGACCAGGCTGTGGTGTAAATCTAAGGTGGGCTGAAACAATTAAGAGAGAAAGTGTTGTAAGACACTGACTATTTCTTTAATAGTCATTAAATAAATTGTATAGAGGGAAATATTATTTTCTTGTCAAACTGTCTAATTTGTTGTAAACGTATATATTTTTCCCACTTTATTCATATGAATAACTTAGAATACATTAAATTAATATCTTCTTTGAAATTGGGTGGTTAGCCTCAAATATTGCAAATTCCTCATCAAGCTCCTTATATTTTCGTCCAGACATAACAGGGTCAGGTTTGGTATATTTTCAGGTGAGGCTGATTTCTTTATTGTACAGCCACTTTGTAACTAATTTCAATAGGACAGTTTACTGTCACTGCCCAATTGAAATACCCTTTTCTGCATAAACATTTCCAGCAAGCACTTGGGCAATTGGGAATGAAACGCTGAAACAATGTTGTATAACATTGTATAACGGTTGGATTATGATATGAATATGAAAGTTGGAATAATGTTAATTCCTTTCTTAATTTAACATTAGCACTCAATGCTGAGCAGATGTTGGATATTGGTTACCAGCCATCACAACTTGAAACCAACCAAATGAAGATGTCAGATTGATGTTAAAAAGCTTACGCTTTAACTGATGTTTTTGATGTATCAGAATCGGCTTTTGTTTGTCCAACATCGCAACCAATATCCAACCAAGAACCAACGTTAATAGAACGTAGTAAGTCTGCTGGGTTAGCTTTCTGAGTTAGGTCTAGACGTTGCTTCTGTGTTTTCTTTTCCTGTAAAACCAGTTCTTCCAGTACCACAAAAATGAAAAACATTTTTTTTTTGCAATATTTCAGAGATTGTAGATTGTTTTTAATCTTGTTCAACTCTATTGTCTTCAAAAACCACCACCGTTATCCATGAGTGCATTTGCAAACTGTATCAGACCCCTCCCCTCCAGGATGGCTTTTAGCCAAAGCTCTTGCAGAACTTATCCAGTCACTTCATCCAGTCCTATCAAAGTGTTTTGCTATTACTTATGGGTTGATGAGTTCATTTTTGACCAAAACATGTAAAACGTGTCAGATACTATTTATGGGATATATAATCTGTCTTCTTTAAAAATAATAGAAGGAATAAACATTGTGCCAATAGATAAAACATTTGTTGTTTTTTAACACATAAAACAATAAATAATTTAGAAAATTCAAATAAAAAAGAGATGTCTGCTTCAATGCCAGATGGTGAAAATAAAATATCATGTGGTCCATTTGTTATTTCATCCTCACAATTGCTGGATACTTAACCAACAATAGGATTTCTAGGAAACAATGAACGTGAGGCTTTTTCTCATAAGTTAAACTGGACCTGCCTATTTTGGCCATCGATTGAAGTTTCTTCCATGCACGTAATCGATCATTCCCCTCTGATAGGCAATAAGCTGTAATAGCCACTGCGTAGGTATGGCTCAGCTCTTCAATTTGGGACTGGAGATAAGCTGTTGCCTTTGAGATGCTTGTCTCCTGTAAGAGAGTAAACATGGGATTTTCATTTTGCAGAAAGTTATTAGCAACAGTTCTTTAAAATATTAAAGTAAAGCAATAGCAACATAAGTTTTATACCAATATAATAGTCTAGGATATACAGTGTTAAACATGAAAATGAAATATGCCAAAATCCAAATAATTTCTATATGTAAAACCAAGTAAAGCAAAGTTGACAAGAATGTAGTGTGTCATAAAACCAGCTTTGAACTATGTTGACTTTTAATTTAAAACCAAAAATAAATTAGTAAAAAAATCCAAAGAATAGTCTTGAAGCAACAAAGTTGGGAAGGAAAATTGCATTCAATTAATACAATAACTGAAAAAACGCACTGTAGAACATAGCTTATAAACAAATATGAGCATCCAGGAGAGTATGTTTAAAAATCTTACCACTTTATTTAGATTTTCTGTTGTAAGAAATTGACGGGAGCGGTTGAGTGCAAGAGTTATGAAAGCGGTCATGGATGCATCTTCGTCTTTTCCTGTCTACATAAAAAGGCAGTTTTTTTTATTTTTGTTTTTCTTAACTATTTAAAATTTTGTCAAATATGTGCACACACCAACAGAGCTTACCAGGACACCTCTGTGTAACACAGGATTTGGGTCTCTGAATGAGCCATCATGCTGTTGTACTGACAGCAAGTAACTGACAGGTTGGTTTATCTTTTGTAGTGGTATAACGTTGAGTTCTCGTCCTTTCACTCCATGATCATATGTTTGAAGCTCCGCGATCAGTGACAGAATCTTTACAACAAGAGCAGTTACCCTTAGGGACAAAAGGGTTAAAAAAGACTTTTTGATGGGCTCACATATCTTGGGATTAAGATGACATCTAAGATTGGATAACTTTAAGTTTAAAAGATTAATCCATTGATTAAACATGGAAAAATACCAAGGTGGATGAAGAAATTTTGCAAGATAGAAGGACTGTAACTGGATTTTCAATATGTTATAGCTTGGTTAGGTTAGACATGAACATTTTTAAACTTCGAGATGACTTCAATGGACTTGAAAAGACACTTCTAGAAATTCAGAAAAGTGGCCTCTTTGTGTTTAAGTTATACTTTTACAGTTTCTGACATAGGACATGTTATAACTCTTAAAGGTGTAATTACCTGTAAGTCACACTATTTATATCAAACTTTTTCACAGTTTCCAGTTTTGTGTTGTACAGTTTAACAAAAAAATAAATAAATAAATAAGAAAACAATAATGTCAGATAAAGAATTAATGTTAAAAGAAATGTCCATTAAATCTACACCCCTGCACAACTACAATACAAAATTATCGAATTTCAGCATTTAGGTTTAGCAACTTTTTAAATAATACAGATCCCCCAGGATTTCTATAAAAGAAAAAAAAAAAATGTGTGACCCGCATAGTTCAAAAGACGATTAAAAAAACGCAAAAAGTAATTGTTTTGCAGTTAATAATCTTTCTAATTTTCAGAAACATTATTATTATTCTTTATTTTGCCATTTTTAGTTTCAACAAAGGCTGAAAGACTCTCCCAAGAAGATGAAATACTGGAACTTAATTGAAGGGGCCTTAACACAGTTTAGGGTGATATTATTTCAGCAAACTGAGCTTCTTATTTAAATATTAATTTATGCTATTTTTTATCTGAGTCAAAATATTTCATACATATGGAGAATTTAAGATTACTAGTTACCAGTTACTTGTTGGATCTGAATTCCATGCTCCATAGGATCCATTGGGTTTCTCAAATTCTGTAATTCTTAGGTAGCCTGAAAATTATATCAACACAAAAAGAACACATGAGTTAAAAGAGCAGAGCTGTTGAACCCTTAATTGGAATCCCTGATGAACTCTGGTAAAAAAAACAAACAAAAAAAACAAATCAAATTTAGTTCGAAGGACCAATCTAAAACCTAGACATTTTTATATATTATCAATTTTTCATTAAATTGCCTGGTAAGTGGATAAACCAAAGGTATTAAATTAGGTCGCAATATAAAGTCTATAAATATCTCCCAGCTAAAAATTTTGTTTTGTTTTGCAAATGACATAATTTTATTGAAAAAAAAACAATCAACTAAACAAAGCATAGTGAATATATAATATAAGTATAAATTAAAATTTTTTATTTTCTTAAACTCTGAAAAAAAAATTTAGCAGAAGATTTTAAAATTTTATGAGTAAACCAAATTCTGGTTAGCAATTCTGGTATGTATGTAAAAAAGAAGCAAATCTTTCACTTGCACTAGGGTACCTTTCAGCAGGCAGGCCTATTGGCAATATTGACCTAATCCTATTTTTACCAGAGCCAGACAATACACAGGGATTATATCACACTAACAGCAAACTGAACAATTGTCAAATCAGGATTTTTAAAACGATTCACTAAAGAGGGACTACATAAAGACTGCGCTTGTTAATTGATTTATAATTTAAATAATAATAGTTTTATAAATAAGCATGTACGATAGCAGTAACTACATTAGAGCTTTGACTGGGCTGCATATATATCAATGTAGGTAATCAGAACATAACAGAAAACAATAAATGCACAAATATCCAATATGCAGCATAAAAAGTGAAAATATGTGAATGTTAAAAAAAAGGAAAAGTGAAGCAGTTTTAACAATTTTAAAGTTCCAGTAAATGATTTGTTTTGGTTTGAATTATGTATCTATCACTTGCTTTTATTCTGCAATCTGCAACTTCTTGTAGCATTGAGCTTTGCACCTCAAATCTTTGTTAGCAGGAAGTTGCTACAAGAAAGGAGCTCCGTGACTATTGTATACCAAAATTAAATTCAGAGTACAAAAAAAAAAAAAAAAAAAAGAAAAAAATTAAGCCACAAGAATTGTTAAATAACTAATTTAAGGAAGGTTCAAAATCTTCTGACATCTGTTAGGATAATACAGGAAATCTTGCAGTGTTAGACCATTACGCCATTCCAATTAAATACTGATCTAAGTTTTCTTTACACATCTTTGCTTTAAACATGCCCAAATCCAAAACAGGAAACTTTAAAAGTAACACCAGTCAACCTTTTTCTGTGTAGTCAAAGACTTTGATGAAAAAACATGAGAGCACAAATCTCTCTGAGTTTACAGCCCCCTTCCTCATTCAAATCTCTGACAGGCATTCAGACAAAGCAGTCAGTGGCCAAAGTCAGAGAGAAAAGAGTGATTTTCTCATACAGGCATAAAGCTTCTATTGATCTGGTGCCAGATATTCTTGTCAAACATCAGTGTGTGATCCCACAAATTCCCTTCCAACAAAATGGTAAAAAATTCTCACGAACGCATTTATAAACCTTGTGGAAAACCTTCCCAGAAGAAATGAAGCTGTTCTAGCTGCAAAGAATGGACCAATTTCATATTGAACCCAATGGATAAGGAATGGAATGTTACTTAAGCTCATATAAGAGTTAAGGCAGGTGAGTGAATACTTTTGATGATAATGTACTTTTGGGATGTATTACCATTTAATCTGACACTGTGAGGTCCTAATGTTGACCCAGACAATTGTGACTGATAAAAAATAATTGAAAATGTCTTTAGTTCTTGACATGAATGGTGTTACATCAGACAGGGCATTGCAAAACATCCATATCACATCATTTCACAATAAATTAAAAACCTTGGTATATTACATTGTGTTTTTTGTTAATAGAGTAAGATAAACGAACAATGGCTATAGATTAATAACAATTACAAGATAAAATTCTATGTATATCATTTACTATCTTGCTCAATGATTTTTACACATGCTTTTTTAATGTTCTTGAAATATTGGTGGTAGAAAAGTTAAAGAAAACAAAAAAAAGAAACTTAACGGCAGCTTTAAGACAAATTAAATAAACAAATATTATCTGTGTGACATTTTCTTACCACGTTCAAGGTGATCAAAAGCCTCATCTCGAGCACTAGGTTTTATAGTGAACCACTGCTCACTCATTTCAAGGTAGCGCAAAGCTAAAGTTGTTGGCGCTAATCTCTTCATCGTTTGTTCTAAACAGCCATACGGTAGTACAATGAGTTTTGAAACTTTCTCTGGAGAAAGAAGATTCCTCACATATGAACCACCAAAGCTGTTATCTGTTGATAAATGAGATGAAAGAATCAGATTTGTGTTTCTTACTTCAGTTCTCTGTCTAAATCTAACAGCAACCTACCTTGCATAGAAATTAATATATTTGAGCCCGAGTCAGGTACTGTGCCGTCTGGTAAAGCTCCATCAATATATATAATTTTTGAACTCCGTCCTGTTATAACAGAGAGATAAACCTAAGAATGAAAACTTTTACAACAGCCAAACAAGAATCAATGAGGAATAACCAAAACTCACCATCCAATTTGATCATAGTCGTTGTTTCCTCTGTCTCCAACTGTCCTTCAGTCTTCATCAAAATGAATCAGAAAAATAAGATTTCTATCAGCATGTATCACTGCCTTGTGTTCCTTCTTGAAATCAATTTTGAACAGAACTCCAAGTCTTTTACCTGTACTTTTAAGGTTTTTTGTAGCTGATCTATTCCATTGTCATGTTCAATATCATACAGGCGGATTTTAATTGGTAATGGACCAGTTTTTATGGGGACAACTGAAAAGGACACCAGCTGGGAAGAGTGCTTCTTAACAGTGATTTCAGTGTAGGAGTTGGTGGTGGTGGAAGCAGGAGAGCAAAGTCCTTCAACTTGTTCCATATGTACTGCCAACTGTGCAATGCAGGCGTAATAACAAAGCAGTATGAATCATGTTTAGAATATTTGAAATAAACAGTTTATGTTTTTTTAATTACTTATTCTATAAAATTTGATTACCGTTAAGTTTCTTTCACCGTAGTTGTAGATAACAGGCGAAATTGAGAGTTGCTCAAACTTTTTCACTGAGTACGGCAGCCTCAGCGACACAAATGTCTCCTTAAATGCTCTGATCTCAAGTGGCTTAACTACACACAGACCTGTAGGGAATAGAACACAAGTTTATTTGGCCATTATTAAAAGGCTATTCTCAAACAAAGTCTTCCTTTTGCATTCTGTAGTTTCACCTGTTTCTGGAGATAGTGTGATAACTTGAATTTCCCAAGTGGTGATGGAGTCAGGGAGGAATAAATTATGCCTAAAATGTTTTCAACAAAGTATACTTAAAAAAAATATATTAACACTGGTATGAAAAATTGTTTCTATTTTTATTTAACACAATTTGCATAAGTCAATCAGTTTGGATATATATTTTGCACTGAATAAAGAGAGTCAAACTGTTACATTTTTCTATGCTTGCTGTGGCAGAGTGCAACAGTATGATCCAGCCATTATAAATATCACCACATTCTAATTGATAACTTCTTACCTTTTTTTGTCATTTACCAAAAAATGCTTAAACTCAAAGCTTGGAGGAAAAAATTTTCTCATTTTCTCAGTTCTGAAAAAATAATCCTCCATTAGATCGGTAATTGCAGCTAACGGAAAGAAAACATGCATTAGTTATATAAACAACTTTAACTATATTTGGGAAATACCGAGTTAAGTCAATAGAAATATTGTTAATGTGTATAATCTTACTTCTTCCAAGTTGGCTCTGAGAATCCTCTATCATCTTTCTCTGTCTCAGTTTCTCTGCTGCAAGGCAGCACTTTAGGAAAGCATCCGCACATGTCTGATTTCCTTTCACCAGACGGACCCTGTCTGATCTTTTTCGACATGTACTTTCTCTCATTGGGATACGAGAAAATGCATGAGTACAACAGATTTGGAGGTCAGCATCTTGAAACTCTAATTCTAGAAGAGAAAAAAAAACATGCGTTTTCATTTTTTTTTTCTTTATAGATGTTTTATTCAAAGGAAATACAGGTCTAAAATCTTACTCAATTTAATTTTTTCCTCATTGAGGTCCACTGAACGCCTTGGTCTCACATTTTGTGACTCACACGTTATACCTGCATATGAAGTATAGATTGAAAGAATTTCAGTACATCAAGTGATGCAGCAGATAACTTGTTACATTTTTGATAAAGCAAAACAATGATGAGCACTTCATCAAATAGGTAGTTCAAGCTTTTTCAGCTTAATATCAGAGCCATCCAAATCTGATTTTTCACAACTGAGGTGTTTAGTGTGTTTAGAAGAAACTCTATCCCCACCCCCATTCCCTGAGAAATTTAAGTATTGGGTTTGAAGTGTAGATGCAGCAATACCACCAATGCGTAAAAACCTAAACAAACAAGGACAAAATAGTCTATACCCCTTGATTAATTAAAGAAGATTAAAAATGGTCACAGGAATAATTTGAAACTAACAAAAGCAATAAATAATGAATATATTCGTTGTGTTGTGTTGTATATTGTTCGTGCCACCAAATTAATAGAAAAACCTTAAGTCTTCGAGATGCAAAATATCTGCATGGTGTCATACTAATAAATAAAATTATTAAACCGGCGGGGAAGAGAATTATGGTACCTTTTAATGTCTTATTATGCCAAAAGTAAGTTTCTAAAGTGAATGTTAAGGAATACTTCATTGTTATTTTGGAAACCAAGTTCTGAAACTCAGAAATTGAGTATTGTTCTGAACTTGTACAGTACCACACTTGAATATTCAGTTACATATAAAACTTTGCTTGATAGATTTCTTTCTTACTTGTCCTCCATTTTTGCACAGACTGAGAAGCAAAAGCAAGGCCCGCATCTAGGAGCACTGCTTCTGGGTCAGATCCTCCACTGTATGCACAGCCGAGGTCATATGAGGCCATTGTAGAAAATACCTGCAAATACAAGGAAACTAGTTCTGATTGCTATTTCTAAAATGTCCTATGATTAGAACATCACTAAAAGATGTTTATTACCTGTTTGGGTGTCAATTTATTATCAGCTTTGAGACCATAGAAAGCCTTATCCACAGCCAGCAAAGCCACTGTAGCTGTCTGCCTATGTAAATCCAATTCCAGTTCAGTTTGTATTCCTGGCCTAGCCTGTCCTTTGTGTTGAACCTAAGTGAGAAAATATTCAAAAAATATTTTATGTATTAATTTTCATTTAACCTTATTAAAAACAAATCTTATATGAGCTGTGTTATACACGCATGTACTTTATATATAAAGTCAAATTAAGAATACATTTTTTTGACTTCCAAAAAAATACCTTTCAGCCATAGCTCTCACAAATAATATAAGAACAGTCCACCCTTAGGACATCATCAAATGAACTGAATTTTTTTTTTTGGGGGTTTCCCAATAACACTTATCTGCTCTGTTTACTCACCGTGACCTTTATCTCACATTCATCCCTGACATCGACCCACACAGAGTCTGCTATGATGTCGTCATTTTTGCTGTGATAGTAGCCAATTAGGCGGAAGGCTGGAACCATATTAGCTGTTATTCTCAAATTATGTTTGATGCTTCTCCTTGGTTCGCTTCCATGATGGGGAAGTGAACCACTTTGTATTATCATTCCGCGGCTCAAAACCTGCAAGACATGAAAGCAAAATTATTGTCTTTACCCCTTTTTTCTACATTATCATTAAGTCTTATTGTTTTAAACATACAGTTAAAACATTTCAAGACTTTCTTACAGAACTGTTGTAACTGAGTCAGGTTGTTGGCTTGCCTTCCTTGCTGCCAAAATCTATTACATTTTTTTCCCACTCAAGAAAGCAGCAAGGTTGTGATGTTACCCTATAATTCCCTCAAGTAATCCTATGTTTAACGCTAATGTAAACCTATCAAACTTCACAAATTTAAAATTACTTGACTTTATCATCTGTGCTTTCCCAAGTTGTTTACACACATTAAATGTCATGGTTTTGGTTATGTTATGCTTTACTTTGCTCCTTGTTTTCTAGTTTTTATTGGTTTAATTCCTATTTTGTTGTAATCTCTAGATTTATGTTAGTTCTCATGTTGTCCTCTGTTGCCCTCTTGTGTGTGTGTGTGTTCCTTTCCCCTTGGCTCCCTCGTTGTCTCCTCACACCTGCTCCTTGTCAGCTCGTTAGCCCTCCCTTTGTCTCTGTCAGCTATTTATGCTCTCCCTCTGCTCTCACTCTTTGATGGTTCCTCTGTTGTTGCTGGTCCTGTCATCGCTGCAATTGTCTCCCCTCGTCTCTCCCTGGCTCCTTCTACTGTACGTGTTTTCCCTTGATGCCTCCATGGTTCTGGTCTGTTACTTTTTAGATGGATTTTTGGACTGCCTTTGTTAACCATTTTCATAATTAAACTACAAGTATTCACCTCAGCCTCTCTGCCTCTGCATTTGGGTCCTCCAAACCTCAACCAAACCCTGACATTAAAAGGTTAATGAACTTAAAGAAAAAGTAATAATTCTGTAATTCTTTAAAGATAATCATGCTAATTGTTTTTTTTTTTATGTTTTGCAAACAGTAACAGTATTGATGAACTAAAACAGAACATTAGTCTGATTTAATGGCCTCCTCACAGAGAATATGTGTGTATTTTCTTCCACAAGCTGTGTATTTGTATTCTGTCAGTATTTACTTTCAACTTCCTGTACTTTTCTTACCAGATAATATATGTATCCGTTGCTTGGTCCATTGATAGTGTTAAACGTTACAGAAAAGGTTTCATCCATATTGTAAACCTTGTTGGTAAGTGATATGTAGAGGTAACTTCCTCCTGGTGATGAAACGGCTGTTAGATGTTTGCTCCTTTGAAGACCATCTGTTGAAACCTGCAAGAGTCAAAGGCTGAAGCATTTGAAAGTGGACCACAGTGAAACACAAACGACTGAGTTTGTAACTACTAACATCAACTGTAATCTCAGAGGTTGAGATAATATTAAAGGTATGAAACAATCCTCCATCCTGATCTGTGGTGCCTTGATGAAACTGCTGTTTAGATGCACTTGTAGATATATTTACTGGGACACGAACTGCTGGGGTGCCGTCAGGGTGACGAACAACAACCTACAATTCAAAATTGTTTAAAATGATTATAAGAGAACAAAGGAAAAAAAAAAAACAACAACAAAAAAGATTGCTTCTCTCTGACTTACCACAACATCTAGTGGAACACCAGGAATAAAATGTGAGCGAGTTCGAGACAGATCTATGTTGTATTTATGTGAAAAGATGGGAAGGTAAATTTCTCCCTGTTGCACTTCGCCACCTTAAAGAATAAATGCAAAAATTAATAGGACTTTAAAATATATTGTTATTGTACATTTTGGCATTTTCAGTATATAAACAAGTTAAACCCGTATCAGAAAAAAGTCAAATAGATGTACGGTTTAAAATGTGGTCTTATCAAGAGAAAGTTGTCCCTCTATCCATCCATCCATCTTCCTCCGCTTATCCAGGGTCGGGTCGCGGGGGCAGCAGCTTAAGAAGGGAGGCCCAGACTTCCTTCCCCCCAGCCACTTCTTCAAGCTCTTCAGGAGGAACCCCAAGGCGTTCCCAGTCAAGCCGAGAAAC